GCCCCCGCCCTCTTCCTCTTCCATCTTCGCCGTCATCTCCTGCTTCATCTGCCGGTTTGCTGCCTTCCGCTCCCGGTACGGCAGGTAGGCGGACAGGAACTGGTCTAGGGCGGCCTGGTGGGTTTTACACCCGGGGCCCGGGGGGAAGATCGGGGGGGGGAGATGTGGGAAAAAATACCACACCGGCACAACGGACGAGAGCCGATGGCGAGAGGGTGGTATACGGGGGAAAGGTGAGGACAGCGGGGGCCGAGCGGGAGGGGGCCGGGGGGCTACCGCAGGAACGGACCCAAACACACGAACACACGAACACACCACACCACACAGCGTGACCCCGTACGGACAGACACATACATACATACTTTCATACATACACACATTTATGAATTCATTCATTAATTCATACGTACTCTCACCTGCGGGAATGGGTACGTGTCGTACAGCGACGCCTTCCACTCCCCCCACTCGGCTAGCTCCACCAGCTGCTGGAGGGCGGGAAGGAGTACGGAGCGTCGGAAGTCCTCCCGCCGCTGCTGCCCTCCTGCTCGTACACTGAGCCGTACACCAGTCACATTTCTCAAATCGTTATCTCCTGGGCCTGGCCGGAAGGTGGTGGGGGTGGGGGTGGGGGGGGTTGTGCAGGGGTGTGTGTACGGGGGGTGGGGTGGGCTGGAGGAGCTCCACGAAGAGACACCCCATACCCCCAAACCCGCCACCGGGTCAATGACACGGTCCGCGAACAGGGGAGGAGGAACGGGAAGGAGAGCCGCAGGAGCTGCCAACGAGGGGGGAGCCTTCCCTCTGCCCTGAATAATCTACATAACCAGCAATGCCGTACTTTTTGTACTACTAGTGCCGTACTTTTGTATTACTAGTACTGTTGTATTACTCACCGCACTGCTGCGGGAAGCGGCCGAATGTGCAGTCTGCCAGCAGCAGTGTGTGCGGGGGGGCGCGGGGGATGGCGACCCGGGCGGGGGGCTCCAGGGAGCCCAACAAGACGTCCCTGAGCGGTTGGGCGGTTGGGGGAGGTGTGTTGGGGTTGGGAGCGGGGGGTTGGTTGGCAGCGGGGAAGGGGGGGCCGCGGGGCGGTATTACGTAATCGCATCAGAATTTGATGAGGTCTGAACACATATGCAGCATATGGAATGTAGGAGGAGACAGGAGAGGGGGAGGGGAAGTCGGAGGGAGGAAGTGGGGGTGATGTTAGTGGAGGAAGTGGTTGGGGCTGGGGAGGACAGACCCTTCCTTTACCCCCCCCCATCTCACCCTATCGCTACATGCCCTGCACACCTCCTCCTCCTCCTCCTCCTCCACACCCTTCTGCACAGCTGGGTTCACAGTTTTGGCCTCTTTTACCACCCAAACCCTCCAATCACCGTCGGCAGCCGTATCGCCGTGCAGCTTTTTTCAGATCTCCCCCCGTACTCCACGTCGCCGCCAAGACGATCACGCAGATGACACCCCTGGTCCCAGTAAATCTCCCTGATGCATCCATCCATCCATCTTGTCCTGGACTACCCGTGTCTATCGTTGGCATCATCCGCTCCACTCGCCAGTGGTCCGTCGTCTTACCCCAATACCCTCCCCCCAAAGCATCACATACAGAGACCCTGCAAACCCGGCACACATACACAACACGCCTTTCCCCCCACCTCCTCCCCACAAACCCCCCAGGAGACCCACTTGGGCATAAGGCCCAGCGCCACCGCCACCGCCCCCCCGATCATGTGCCGTATGTGGTGCAGCATGAAGCTCTGACCTCGCACCTCCAGTAGCAAGCAGGGAGTACCGCCTGGCGGTCGCCGGGGGGGGAGAGCGGGGGTTGGAGTGGAGCGGGGGTTAGAGCGGGGTTTTTAGATATTACCCGTACGATATATTACCCGAATGACCTAGGTCAAAGCAGGACTGCACATCAGCGTGCGGAGTTGAAGGGAGGGGACGTGCGGGGCTAAGTCCCCTCTTTCCCTTCTTATTCGCCTCTCCCCCCTCCTCCCTCCCCCTCCCCCCCTCACCCTCGACCAGGGGGCGGGGGTCCGCCGCCGTGAAGTGGTGGATGCGGCGGTAATAGGTCTGAGTGACGCGGTCCCGGGGATCCATCTCCATCTGCCATTGCAGTACACATTTACGACCGTACGGGCCGTACTGTCTCTTGCGAGATGGTTTGGTGCCAGGTCCTTGATCACCTCCGTCAACAGTTGCGCACCCGGCTTCTCCTGCTGCTGCTTCTGCTGCTGCTGCTTCTGCTTCTGCCGCCTCCTCCTCTTCCTCCTCATCCAGCTCCCCGGCGCAGCCCTCCTCTTCCTCCTCGTCGTCCTCATCCCCGCCGCTGCCGTCGTCACCGCCGCCGCCTCCGCCGCGACGTCGTCGCCGATCATCCCTGCCGCCGCCGCCTCCGCCGCCCCGGCCTCCGCCCTCCCGGCGGCCGGCTGCCGGCCGTTTGGCAGCGGCAGCAGGTCCTTCACCTTCGGCTCCCGCCGCTGGCGGCACCTCCGCCACCGCCACCGCTTCCGCCGCTGAAGCTAAAGTGGCGGCGGTTTTGGGGCGTTTTGCTTCCGGTTCTCCGTCGGCATCACCACCACCACCACCGTCACCGTCACCGTCACTCGCCTCCGCCACCGCTCCGGATTGCTCGTGCGGCTGCTGAGGACCCCTTTGCAGAGCAGGTGGCGGCGGCGGTAGCGGCAGCTCCGCCGTCGCCGCTGACCCGCTGTCGCCGCCTCCGCTGGCTCCGTCACGCATCTCCGTGTCACCGGCGGCTGCGTCCCCACCGCCGCCGCTGCCGCCGCCAGCGGTGCCGGTGTCTGGAAGCTCAGCGGCAGCGGCGGCAGCGCCAGGAGGGAGCGGCGGCGGCGGCGGCGGCGGCTCTGCGCCGCTTGCTTCCGTACGTTCTCTACGCGGCGTGCAGTCCTCTCCTTCGCCGTCCTCCTCCTCCCTCTCCCGCCCGCGCTTGTGAGCGCCGCGGCCTGTGTTCCAAAGGTGCAGGAGTGACGTGTCGATGTGCGTGTTGTTGGTGCTGTTGTTGTTGGTGGTGGTTATGGAAGGTGTTGGCGGCGGCGGGGCCACCCACGTAACTGATTGACTGTGTGTGTGTAGTTGGAATGATGAGGGCATAGTGCCTATCTGTAGGCAACAGGCAAGCCCTGGCCTGAGGAATGTTTGTATGTCTGTGCCACACCGCGCGCGCTCCCTCGCGTATTCTAATCAAGACAGGAAGGATGTGACAGGAAGGTAACAGCGTCGGGACGCGGGCGTCCAGTGCGGCGAGAGGGGCCTTACGCCGCCCCGCATTGCCCCGACGCATACTGTGCCCTCGTACATGTCGTCGAGTGCCGTACCTGGTTTGTACTGCACATTTGCTCCCCCGGGCTGGTAGACCACGCGCCGCGTGTAGTTATGAAACGGGTGGGGGCCCTAAACATACATACATACGCACATACACACATACACGGCATCAGACACAAGGTGAAGGTGAAAGTGTGACGTCGTGTCCCAGGAAGATTCCAGGATCGATCCCGGCAAAGAGCAGCGGGATACAAATCCATCACATTGAACATAAGAGGTTGGATGCACACTCCCCCCATGCCGACGGACAGTGAAGGACCCACTTCCCCCATGCCGACCGGCACATAACTAGAGACCTACGAGCCGACCCGGAGTGAAGGGGAGTGAAGGGGAGTGGACTGAGTTGACGCCGCCGTTGATGTCGGTGCATTGGGGGGGGGGGGGGACCGGGGCCCGTTAGGGGCCTCATACGGGTGAAGCTCCACCCCCCTACTTCACGCAATCACATACCGACATACCGACATACATACGTACATTCCATACACCTACAAAGTCATCATCTACAGCTTGCGTCATCAGGCTCTTCCATTAGTGCTGCTGCTGCCGCTGCTGCCGTTGCTGCGGTAACGGGCCCAAGTGGTTGAGTCCACATGGCGCCCACCACCACCACCGTTACCAATACCCTTACCCCCCACCCCCCCGCAGTATGGCAGTACCTGGAAGCAACTCAGCGCGTCTCTGAACACGGCCAGCTTCGCCGCGTCCTCCTCACCACCATCGCATTTGAGGTCTGAGAGGGGGCGGAGGCGGAGACCCCGTCAGCCAGTGCCCGTCAGCCAGTGCCCGTCAGCCAGTGCCCGTCAGCCAGTGCCCGTCAGCCAGTGCCCGTCAGCCAGTGCCCGTCAGCCAGTGCGGCGAGTGGGGCACACAGGACAACGATGACACGGAGAACGCGAGAGATCCGATCGAGTCGGTGTTGGTGTCGGTGAGAGAGGGGAGGGGAAAGGGGGTGGGGGCC